ACCCATTTTAAAGTAATTGTATATGATAAAATTAATGCAGTTATTATTAATTTGTATCCCTGTTGTTGTTTATGTTCTGTATGATGCTATTCAAAGTCATCTGCCAAGAATACACTTTATCACATGACAGCCATATAACTCACATTATGTTACCAATCTGTAGCTGTAAATATTGTGGGCGTATATCACTTAATATCCCCATTTCTGAGGTTGCATAATGATTAAAAAATGCCAGACTTCACAGCTGTCATTTTGTTTGCATACTTGATCAACCTTAAGGTTTCATGATGATTGTTATTTAGAAGTCTGATAGCTTCCCTTTAAAGTGCATTTTTACCATATTGTGTTAATTTATAGTTAAATAATATTTTCGAAAACTTTTTTCCTACTATTTCATTTTAAACAACTTATTTTAAATGTTTGCTTTTATGTTTTTTTATTTTGAATTTGTACACTAAGTAACTAATCATAATTGGATATTTCCTTATTATAGCTGTCATCAAGATAGAATCACTAATCAACTGAGAAATCTTTCTGAAATCTCGCTGCATGTTACATCTTGGTTAATTAGCAATTTAGTTTTGGGAGGCTGCTGTAATAAGGAAGTACCCATAATTGTTTAGCTTAAAATTGTTGGAGGTGTTAAACAGAAATCTCTCTATAAAAATCAGATTGTAATTTTTTAAATTTAATTTTTTTTTTTTTTTTTTTTTTTAACTTGGTGTAAACTTTTTGCGGGATTAGGCTATAGCGTGAAGTTTTCAGATAGCAATTTTATGTATTTATCTTTGTGTATTTGTATGTAATAAAGAATAAGATGATTAGCCTATGAAATTTAAGTGAAGATTTTTGGAATATGCCTAGTTAATAGTGATTCTAATCAATTTTTATGGATTTGTAGCGTATAAAATATTATGAAACACATCTGATATTTCTTGCCATTTTAGTAATTAATATTCATCTAGTTCTATATAATCTGGACCTATCATCAAACAAATTGCTAAAAACAGCAAAACATGTGTAGTTCGTTTCAATTCCTTGGAGCGAAATACACAAGCTGCTTTTTTATTTTTATTTATTTATTTTCTTATGTAAATTTTATCCAAGTTCTCCCTAGATTTTTTTAAAAGCATTTTTCATGATAGACAGACCTTTTGTGCTTTGCTGTAATTAATTAGTCAACTATTTCACCAAGAACTTGAAGAAAATCATTTTACCTTTTTGTGTGTGTAACTAAAATTATTTTGCAACATTATGTATGATACATATTCAAATAAGATAACTTATTCTTTCTTTTTTTTTTTTTTTTTTTTTTTTTCTTAACATTCAGACTTGAGACATGCAGATTCATCGTGATGCTGTTCTTCTTCTTTTTGAAATATTTGATGCAGTAATAATTATTTTAAAATTAAATGTCAGGAAAATTCTGAAAGTTTTTTTATTGTGTAAAAGTAGTTTGTTGAGAACATTATATATAGCATAAAAAGTATTTGCTGCATTAAATATTGAATTTCATGTAATGATTTTTGAAGGATGCATTTTTTTAGAACTTATGTATGTGAAGTTTACTACTATTTAAACTGTGTCTCTATGATTATTATTATTAATGCATTCATGATGCATTGTAACTTTCCTAAGATTTTTAAATAATTTTTAAGGAAGTAATTGTTTTATGAAACATCATTTCTTGAATTCATATATACTAAGGTTTCATTTCTAGTGTAATGATTAGATTAAATAAGTTTGGAACATGTAAAAAAGTATATGATGGTAAGGAGTAAACTTATACATAGTATAATACAGTAATTGATTTTTTAAAATTTTTAATTTGAACATTTTTACGGTTTTGTAACTCAGAGAAGATATGTATTTATATATAGCTATCTATTTCTATTTGATGCTGCTTAATAAAATGTTGTCTTGAATTTTATCAGATAATTTTCTATGTATGTTGTATATAACAAAAAAGTTAACCACTTTTTTTTTTTCCTTTAATATCACAATATACATATGAGAAGTTGAGTATGAATGACACTTTAATCGTTTTCAGCTTTTCCTATTTCCAAATCCTTTTTTTTTTTTTTTTTTTTTTTTTTTTCGAATTATGTGATGCAATAATTAGATCTGCAATTAGATTTTCCAGTGTGAAATAAGTTGGTGCTTGTTATATCACAGTAAATACTGAATACCTATGGAAACTAAACTATGCAGAATGGGCCGCCTTTTATTTTGTTTTGCACGCATTCAGTACTACTTTATAAGAAGATGCTTTTCCTTTGTAAATAATGGATTGTGTATTTATATTAACCTGTATGTGTTCAGTATATGTTATGTATTTTTGTATGATTTGTTTATATTAAAATATTTGATTAATGATCAAGTTTGATAAGTTGATTAATTAAATGTTTCAGTTTAAGTCTGCTTTATTGTATCATTTATGTAACATAGTGTGTTCTCTTAAATGAATCAGTAAATAAATGTATGTTAAAACTTATTAAATATATTGCAATATGTTTTTAATTGATTTGCTTAAGATGTTTTTGTGTACAATCTAATATATATTGTAAGTAATATATTATTTGAAATATTTGGTCATAAATTTTGAGTATTAGATGTAGTTGTCAAGACAATTTTCTACTGAAATGAAGTTATAAATTAGAATCCAGGTTTTGAAACAATATTTGTACACATCTAAAAAACTGAAATTTTTTAGTTAGGAAGAAGAGGTAATAAAGTATATTTGAAGGTGGATGTAACGAACTTTGTAATAATCGTAGAAAATACTAAATTTAAAAATTGGCTAGCATTTATATAGTTATTTTTTGCATTGTTGCAGAGAAATATTTTTTGTATTTGAGAGCTAAACAATATACTGTTCTATAAATTTTGCTGATATGCAGATGCACATGCAAATATGTATATGCATACACCACACACACGTATCTGTACATATGTATATACATACACACCCATAAAATTTTAGATGGCAGTGATGGTAGAAAATAGCAATAATTTTGTTGAACTGGGTTTTTTTATGAGTCTTGAAGGTTATTTTTAGATGAGTATAATTTCTAGTACAAGAAAGTAAATAATGGAATAATTTAAGTACATCATTGGTTCCATCTATTCAACATTTTGTATATGTTGGCATATATGCATTAGTATATGTTCATGTAATTCATTTTTTTTTTTTAGAAATACGAAAAATATATTCTAGGTAATCCATGAACTTTCTGGTTATTTTATTTATTAATTTACCACCTAATTTTTTTTTATTTATTTATTTATTTAAAAAAATGCAAGACTAGAGATTTATTGTAGTTTAATTTACATTAAAAAAACTAGTTTTAAATATATAAAATGTACACTTCTGTGCAAAAACCTAAAGATCAATCAGGTTTAAACGTGTAATTTTAAACTAGAATTATCTGTATAAGGGAAAAGATATCTTGGATGAAACTGAAGTGAGACTAGCTCCAAAATAACAACAGATACAAATTATGCATAGCAGCTTTATTCAGCAGTGGTTTTAATGCCTTGGCTGCAGTGATACAGATGAATCTCAGTCAAAGATTATGTAAAAATAAGTGATAATCTTAAGCAGGATGTACAATCGCCTCTAACAGTGGTGCATGTTTTGCTTGTATGCACGTGCTTCTAATGAAATTACTGATAAGTTCTTGCAGTAGTATTGTCCATTGCTCTGCAATACTGCTTTTGGCTGTTGAACAATTGTCAGTGAGTGCAGATAAACAATGCATCTGCTGAGAATATCCCACTGGGGCCATTAATACTTTGGAACAAATGCACATAGGCTCAATTATTTTGCTACAGTAGCATTCACCAGTTACAGTTACATTTTTCATTATCTGCAACTCTGTACATCTATCAAGTATAATGTTTTACCCAGACAAGAATATCTCAGCCAGCCTCATCAATCACTTTCAGTAATGTTTGTGGTGTGTCTTTTGCAATATTAGCTGACATCTAGAATCACTACTGAGGCTGAATTTACTCTCATCAATAATATTTTAACACGTTGTCTTTTTGTTCAGTTCTTGGGTTAACAAATGAAGATAACATTAGACAGATGTTAAAGAGACAATGCTAGGTAAATAAACTGTATTTATTAAGTAACCTAATCATGATTAACTATTATAATTAGTGTCTGTTACTTTTATGCTGTTTCTTATGGCTTTCACTGTGTAGAGTCAGCTTTTCTTGACATTTAAAACTATAACATGATCATCACTGAGCATTTTTGTTTGCTATTTCCAGTTTTTTTAAATAGTTGTAACTATCATTTTGAAGCTGCTCACATCAGTTTTAGATTCTAGGAACAACATTGGACTCATAATCCTTTTTTTTTAAGACCTTTGTTGTCCCTACCTTGTGTGAAGTCATCTAAATGTTTTCTAGTGACTGTTCTTTGCTGACAAAATGAAATATTTATCATTAGAAAGTTTATGGGACATTTAGAGTGGGTTCCTAAACTGCATTTATCATTTACATCTGACATCTTTATTCCTGTGTTTGAATGTGAAAGATCAATAGTTAGACAAATTATTATAGTCATTTGAATTTGAATTTTTTAAAAGTACTTCCCCCCCCCCGAAAAAAAAATATTGAACATCTGTGCAAAAAGGATTTCTCTTCAGATATTTGCATTCAGATTTTAAAATTTGCTTTCCAGAAAAATTTCTATTGATTATTTCTTTACATATAATGAGCATCTGCTAAAATATTTTTATTTGCATCTTTAATGCAGATTTTTATATTTTATTATTTTAAGAACATTGTCTGTTATTATTCTAAATGCACAAACTTCTGCTAAAAGATAAAAATATTAATTTTTGGGTACTAATACAAGTAATGAAAATTTAATATAAGTAACTTATTTATATAAATATATGATTTAGTTGATAAGCTATTTAAATAGATTTTGTATTTAGCTTATTTGAAATTTGGATTTTTTACTGAATATCTTAATTTCTTTTAAGGCCTGATGGTATTGGTACAGTCACTGTAGAAGAAAAAGACATTTTTGCCGAGATAAAAGAAAGATTAAGGATTCTCCTCGAAAATCAAATTACTCATTTTAGGTAATGATATTCATCGAATGTATGTTTCTGACTGTTTAAAATATGTTAATTTTTGGAGGCTTACATTCTTGAAGATTTATCATAATGTGAGATTCTCCAAACTTTAATAAAGGTGTTAATGCTGTGTCATAAATATGAATAAACTGTGTGTGGTGTGTATTTAGTAAATAAATTGAACCTGAAGGAATGTAAAACAAGCTGAATACTTATGAGTTTCCAAAAAACAGTCAAGTCATAAATATGTAATATTCTAGTTTTAATGGCAATATTTGATAATTTGGCATTTGTACATCGACTGGCACCTGCTATACACCCCCACCACCAATTTGTTGATCCTTTTCATGATGAAATATTGAAATGTATTTTTGATATATTTCATCATGAAAGAATGAATGGAAGGATGATTAACATCACAGAAGGATGAAGCAGGTCAAGGAAACAGGTTACTTAATTTTTTATGCATATTGTTTAATAACTGCATTCAGAATCACACCAGATTATTATTTTCCACGGTTTCTGTCTGCCTCTGAACTTTGCTAAGTAAAAAAACAAGTGACTTCTGTATAATCACTTCTCAAGTCTTTATTCTAACACTTTGCTCATTGTTGTTGATATTATATTTCTAATTCAAATCAATCGTATATCATGTATAGTTTCATTGCGTAAGAAATGGAACACTTGCAATTTTGTGGCAAAATACAGTATGCCTGAAAATAAGGGACTGTGTCTGCTTCATTTCTTGGCAAATCATTCTCTATGTGTTTTTTCACAAGTATATTAAATTTTTTAATTAAAAAAAATTAAAGGGAACCCCTATGGGCACTAATTTCTCTTCACAAATCTGCAACTTATTTACAAAAGAATATAAGTTTCAAAAGTCTTTGAACTATATTAATTTAAAACTGTTTGCCAATATCTAAGGGTACATAGACAAAATTATTACTTTCAATAATTTTGGATCTATTGAGAAATTTTATGTACCCTTCTTGCTTAACACTTAATAACTTTAATATTAGTTAAAAAAAGAAAAAAAAAATCTTGATCTACAGATTATTACATATACATAAGATGCAATAAAATTAAACTGTGTGATAGAATTAAAATTTACTACTATTAATTAATTAGCTGGCATATCAACTTATCAAAAAAATTATTAGCAATGTAATCTATGAAATGATTAAAATTGAAAATATCTCTACAGAAATAGACTTCAGTACATCTGAGGTCCGGTTGTCCAATATCCGGAATAATCTAAAACTCGAACCTTAAAGCCACCCCCCCCCAAAATGTAATTTTTTAGTATGCGCATTTGATCCTCCCCCCTCCATAGTAAAGCATTTTGAGAATCCCGATTCTTAATTTCACTTCGGCACCAAATAAAATACCTCATTATTGAAGAAACAATCATTTTATCATAAATTTGTATGATGAATAATTTGGCTGCATATCTGCTTGGCATATTTCTCAAACCGAAACATTCTACATAGAAGTATCATTGATTTTACAACTACTAATATTTTATATCCCTGATGCCAACCTGGGGAAGCCTTATTTATTATATTTTGCGTTCATCACTGCGTGTTTATTAGTACATGACAACTGCAGCGATGCCTAAAAATTTTTTTTATTAGATATTAAATAACAAAGAGTATGGAACCTTTTATGTTGACATTTCACTTGGCTATGATTACTGATTTAAGTTAAACGCATTAAATGCTGATGAAGAAAAATTCAGCAAAATTTCTTTCCATATGCTAAAAAGTAGATTTTGTTAATGATACTCATAGGCCAAAAGTTGCATTTAATGCTGTTTGAATTAAGAAAAATGATTTTTTATTCACATAAACCCAGAGCCGGTGCCAGAGATTGTATGGCCGCACCAGGCGGCATAATTTAGGGAAAACAAAATTTTTTGAATTAAGGGAAAGCACTGGGACCCAAAATTAAGAGGCAGTAAAAATTTAGAACTTAGGAGACGCTTGGTGACAGAATTTAGGACCCGTAGAGACAGCATCAGGCCACAAAATATCTTGCGTTGTCCCTCAGTAAACTTAAGTATATATGAGAATTTATTTATTCAGGACTCAAATAAGCCTGAAGCAATGTGTAAGAAATAGACGTAAGTATAATAAATGACTAAATTAATACAATTCAGGCTTAATTGTCTCAGTCTGCGATAGAAGCAAGACAAAATTTAAAGAAACAACCTGCCTTTCATCGCCAATCTCATGCTATGTAGTCAATAATGTATAGTGGATGCTGTTAAGCTAAAATTATATTTTATTACATTATTTATTATATTATAAGGCTAAAGTTATACTTTATTTATTCCAAAGAATTTCAGTTAATATAGCATATTCCGCTGTTGCGTAACTGTTGGATTTGATTCAGCTTATTATTTTTTGCATGCTGTTATAATTACAGCAGTTTTATGAAAACTAAAGTTTGAACTTTCAGTTATGTCGAAAAGAGTTTCGAATTCTGGAGCTTCAACAGGATCTACAAAGCGAATACATGTTTCAATGTCCATTAAACAAAAAGTGGAATTTTTCCAAAAAGTGGATATAGGTATTTAAAACAATTAGGAGTTAAAATGGTATATCCCCTAACCGTTTCAAAATTATGCAAGGAGGATGGCATTGGAAAGTATATGACATAACAGAAAAGGAGCTTTATGATCTTTCTAACACACCACTCACAATGAATAACAGAAAAAATTATTCACTGTGCTAAAAGTGACGATCATGGCAAAATGATGATTAAATGGGTCAGACAGCGTCATGGTGAGGGCATGCCATTGACGGGTCCAATGCTAATAGCTCAAGCCAAAATATTTCATGAAGAAATGGACTTAAAAACTGAGTGCACATATTCGACAGGTTGGTTACTAAATTTTTAAATTGCCTTGGTATAATGCAATTAAAAATTCCAGGTGAAAAAACTTCAGCTGATACTGCTGCAGATGAATTCATTGAGCTTATTAATAGCGAAACGTATCTCCAGGACAAATTTACAGTGCTGATGAAACTGGTTTTTTCTGGCAAAATGTGCTGCAAAATACCTTGGCAACCTCTACAGAAAAGGCTCTAACTGGTGTCAAAGATTCCAGAACTCTAAACTAATAATTTTAGCATGAGCAAATGCTGCAGGAAAGCACAAGTGTAAACTTTTCTCCAAACTGTACATCCGTCATTCAGCCTCTGCATATTCGTATAGTATGCATGCTGAAATGCAAATATAAAATCAATATTAAATTTCTTGATAATGACAAGACTATTCAAGAATTTTTTAAATGTTTTAGCATAAAATCTGCTGTGAGGAGCATCGCAAGATCATGTGAGGATGTGCCTCCAGATATTTTTAAAAGTGCATGGCATAATTTATGGCCAGCTACCATATTTCACAAAGATGATAGCTGTAAATTTGAAGGTTTTTGGATATCACAAGCCACAGGTGAAATTTTCCAATTAATGGGTTTTGTAAAAAAATCTGCAGAAGTGGTAATAAATGAAGATGATATAACAGAAGTTGCTTATTCTGATGACAATACTTCAATCAATTAATGGTCGGCAAAATCTGTAGTGTGGTTCTAGATCCATAAAATACTGCTACCGATAGTAAAGAAAGTGAAAGAGAGGTTATTGTAAAAAAAAAAAAAAAAAAATTCGATTGACGAGTTAGTCAGAATTCTCGACACGGCAACTACAGGACTTGAACAGTGGAACTTTGTAACTGAACAAGAAATTATGTCTGTCCTTAGAATTAAAGAAGTATTAGCACAAAAAAACAAAACATCTTAAAACAATATACATTGAAAGAAATGTTTAATAAAGTAAATATAAATAAATATTAGCTTTTTTTTTTTTTTTTTTTTTGTAAATTTTATACCCTTTCTTTAGATCATAAATGCTTCATTATTTCATAAATCATGATTTTGTATTTTTAATTTTGTAATTTCTACATGCCATCTTACTAGATTTAAACTGATGATCTAGTGGAAAAATCCCAAATCTCGAATTGACAAATCTGGATCTCAGACATTGTACTGATGAAGATAACTAATTTTACTCACATAAGTTATTATAGACAATCATATTCCTTCTCATTTTATTAATTATTCACTTAGTTAAGCAGGTATTTTCTTCCAAATTTAATCTTTAAACTAACAAATTATGAAAATCTTCTCTTAAACCATTTGTGGAGGATGAGTCCAGATGTTTTGTCAGCTTTGAAGATTTGTATATTCTGTATTTAACTGTAAATTGCTTAAAGTGATCTGTCTACTTTCCTTTTATTAACAAAAAGCCATTTAGTTTCTTAACACCCAAATATGATTCGGAGTGAAAATTTTCGACTGTTGTTCTTACTATTTTCTGTTCCCCTGACTTTCAGCCAGAGAATACTATAATTTTTTTAATTTTTATTTATATTCATTATATATTTATATATTTCTATTTATTTATTTAAGCAGTTTATTTATGTAATAGCCAAAAGGAAGATTAAAGCGCTTGTGTATCACTTTCACACTTAACATTTAGATTTTCATGGTTTACAGTCAATCCGTGAGCTTCATTCCAATTCCTCTCATGCTTTTCTATATACATATACAATCTGAACACTCTCTGCCATTTCTTTTAATGGTAAATATGAACGTCCCTCAAGTGTTAGTTCCAGCAAACTTCCTTTTCCATTGAAAGCTTCACAATAGCAGCCATGAAATTTAAACTTTAAGTTAGGATTGAAATTATATATTTCTTCTATATATTTTGTATATGTTTGTAATTAAGACATTATATTTACATAATTGTTTAAACTGTGTAATTTTCTTACATTGGTTTAATATGCATTGATACTTCTAAATTCCCCATGAGTTTTTATAACAGTCTTTTTGTAAATATGTTCTTTTTTTATCACATTAGAGAATTGCCTTTATGTTTGAAAATTATTAGTTATTCATTTAAATACAAATTTTATATACTAGTTTTTCGGGATTGAAAGAATTCATTCAAACGTATGAAAGAGACAAAACATGATCATAGCCAAATTATTGAAGATTGTTTTTGGAAGAATTAATTCCCCTTGATAAGTCAATGCTCTTCTAGGAAATCAGCAATAATTTACCTCCTTTTTTATGTATATACTGTGTTATCTTATTTTTATACATTTTCAATTCTTTTTCTGTTTTAAAATGTATGATCATGCTTACCAGTAGAATTTTTAAACTTCTTTTAAGTTTATTACCAGTTTTAATAGTGTTAACTTAAGTATTAACATTTCCAGATTTCATTTTGGAGTAGTTTTACATTTCCTTTCATACGAGATAATTCATTAATAATTTCATACGAGATAAAATAGTCCTCTTTTTATAATCTAATTCTAATCTCTTGATTATATATATATAAAATATTACACACGTGCATGCACACTTATATTCAGTTTCAATACTTTAAAAATAACGTTCTTTATAGCTTCTTGAAGATGTTAATTATTGCATATAATTCTTGCTAGCAGCAAACAGAACTTATTAAAATTTATATGTTAAATGCTAGTTAACTATTCAGTTTTTAATTACTTTAAATGTAATTCTAAATTTATGTCATAGCATTTGCTTCAGATAAATTTTATAGTATATTTCATAACATATTAACATAAACTTTGTTAAAAATTTCCTACTTTTTACGGAACTGAATCTAAAATTATTTTCAGATCATCTGTTTGGATATGTTCTTCTTGAAATATAATTATGAATTAAAAATGCTTATGAATTTTTTGTATCATATTGAAAGAGTAACTGTCGCATCCTTCAATAAAATTTACAGTGTATTTTATTCCAGTGAAAATGTATTTTTATAATATATTTATTTTAATTAGATTCAATTTTACTGTGGATGTTAAACTTGAAATTTGCCTTGATTTGAATTTTTTACAATCTGAACAAACTATCTATGGTTCATCTAAATTTTTCATAGGAAAATGTTAAATAATTGGGTGAACTCCTCAAAAGATAAAATATTAAAATGATTTTTATAAATTTTATCAGTGATAAATAGAAGGGCTAGATCATTTCTTTGTTTGACTCCTCGCTGACGTGAGATTCATGGAGAGGGTTGACTGGAAGTAATCTGATGTGTCTGTGTTGCATCTGCTCTGATTTCGCGCATTTAAAACTGTAGTTTCATTCATTTGCGAGATGATTTTCTCGGCGTCGCATATCCCAAATTAATTTTAATCATACATATTTGCTTTCTGATAATGCAAATATTTAAAATAATTTGTATATATATATAGTTTTAGTTAGTTTTCCTTTAAATTCTATGTTTAAAGTATCCTTTATATAATATGGCGTCTTGTGCTGTAGCAACGTGCCTTAACACTTATAGAAATACGAAAGGAAGAGATATTTGTATTTCATGCTTTCCAAAAGACAATTTGTTTTTGACGAAAGAATGTATACATAATGTATCTATAATGACAGGATTCTATTAATGTGAAAAAGACAAGAAGGAGAAAATCAGGTGGACTAGTGAAGATATTTCACGTTGCATTGTCATAAGAGCTCTGTCATCTAAAATCTAAGATTTTTAGAAAGAAAAAAATGGGAATTCCTTTACAGAGCACTAGCACATTAAAGAGATGGTGCATTAAATTTTCATGTAGTGCAGGAATTCAGAGTGATGTTCTTGCTGTAATGAAGAAAAGATGCGAATATTTGAATTCTGTAGAAAAAATATGCTTTCTCATTTTCGACGAAATGCATATAGATTCTAAACTCTGCTAAGAGTCTAAATTGGACAAATTCTCAGTCCTTTTCAAAAAGTGCAGTTTGTTTTAATCAGAGGTCTCATTTCGCAGTGGAAACAGCCAATATTTTTTTATTTTAACACTCCAATGAAGAAAGAACTTCTTTTTTCACTCATAAACATTATTTTCAAGAACTACAGCAAAAGGTATACTCCACCTCACAGGAGATAAAAAAGCATCCGACTTCTTTGAGTTAATCGACAATTTTTTCGATATTATGAATAGTACGAAAACATACCCTCCTTCAGATAAAATACTTAAAGCAGCATTTGGATTAAATGAACATCATGAAAAACAAATTCAAGTTTTGGAATTAATGAAGAAAGTCATTGGTGGATTAAGAGTTCAGGGAAAATCCAACATACTGCCTTTCCAAAAAGGAATAATACTTTCAATAAATTCTCTTTTTGGCCTACACCAGGATTTGAAATCAAATGATTCTAAATATATTTTAACCTCTTGATTAACTCAGGATGCACTTGAAAGTCTCTTTAGTCAGACTCGAGGGCTTGGTAGGTTTAATGACCATCCATCACCTAGTGAAGTTATACGCCGCTTAAAGCAATTAATACTCGCTAATAAGCTGCCAAATTTATCTTCAAAAGTGTGCATGACTAAAGAAAGCAGAAATATTGATTCATATTTAACATTAGAAATACTTGAAAGGGCTTTGAAAACTGAGGAGGAAGATGCTTTTCCGTTAAATACTATTAATGATTTGGATTTCATAGAGAAACCTTCTCCTATGGGCTTGGGAATTAGAATTGAATTCTGCCAGACAATTTTCGACTGCCGAAAAAGAAGCATATGTTGCAGGTTATATATTGCCTACTGTGTGCGAGACAAAGAAACATTATTGGGAACAATATCTAAAAATAGTGCTGATGAACCAATATTTAATTCAGAATGGATTAAATTATTATCCTTAGGAGATTTGACTACACCTTCCCATTCATGGATGAATACAGTTTACGAGTTCAAAAACAAAACATATTTTGTGCAGTTCATGGTACAATTTACTATAAAGGGAAGCATGTAATTGGCTTTTTAATTAATAAACTGGAGGAACATTATCCTGAAGTTAACAGAGAAGTAATTCATTTATTTTACAGAGTACGAACTTTTATTAGAATACGTTTCTTAAATAGAAATACATGTGTTTTTTCCCAAAGAAAAGCAACCCAAAAGGCAAAAAAGTGGATTGCTTCGAATGTGACAGCCAATAAATAATATTTGAACAACTTGTAGTTGCATTGCGACTGTACAAGTAAGCATATATAATATGTTTTGATTTGAAATTTTTCTAGATGACATTTTAGAAGTTAATAGCGTAAAGCATATTTCAAATGAGAACTAATTTTGTTAATAAAATTATTTTTATTGTATCCTGTGTTATTATTGATTCGATTTTGTGCTAGCTTAGCATTTTAGATAAAATACAATAGTATAACATTTTAAAGTAATTGGCATAAGAAGACCTACCTCCTTAACCCCCACTTTTGAAAAATTAAATAATTTTTTTTTAGGTACTGCGAGTAAAGTTATTTTGTCTAAATTAAGGTAACAATCGTACATGTATTTATTTAAATGTAATATTGATGTAAGCCTAAGTTACAAAATTTTTAAAATAATGTATGTTATTATATTGAATCGGAAGAAAAATATACCTATGTAAAATTTGCAATTAGGCTGAAACTCAAACTTAGATTAGGAAAAATTTTGCCATATATGTTTAAAACTATGCCAATTTAAGGTTGTTTTTTGATTAATTTTAAATAGCTGTTATTATAGTTATCTTAGAAGCAGTAGTAGAGTTCTCTTAGTTAACATGCAGATATAGAAATAGACATGCATTTAAAGAAAAAATCCCTGCAAATTAAAAAAAAGGAACTTTATGCTAAGAGTAGCACATTTTAACTGTTATTTTAAAATTGAGTAAGTAATATTACATTTTTTTAATGTTCAGTGTGATATGCATACTGCAATAATATTGTCTCTTCCAAATTATAGCTATCTTTCACATTCAGCGCATTTTAAATGCTGGTTCTTCAAATTTAAAATGCTAATTTCTATGTTGTTAATTACATCTCCGTGCTCAGTGTCATCATGGCTACATCATCACTCCCCACTGCCTGTTTCAGGGGAAAAAGTTCTATGAGCTAGCCCTTCTCTTTTAAGTCCTGAAATTTTATTATTATCCATATTTTTTTTGTATTGGTATGTTATGTAACAGAAGGGATTATTTAGCAGCATATCATGATGATTGAAGACCTCTTAGCCAAAGAATCCTGAGTTAAGATAATGTGCTGACTGATTTTATAAAAATTCATTAATTCTTTTATTTTTCATGATAAGTTTTGTTCCAGAAACTATGATTTAATTGGCATTATGATTTTATATTTAAGAATTGTATTGATTTTTATGAAATTTATTTTGTAAACTTTTTATTTCCTTCTGAACTCATACAATCATTTTAATCTAAAATTTAATATCTACAGATATTGCTTCCCCTTTGGAAGGCCTGAAGGAGCTTTGAAGGCTACATTATCTTTGCTAGAAAGGGTTTGTACAGTATTGTCTTTTATTAAGTGGTACTGTTTAAATTATTATATAACTCTTTTACACTCTCCAGTCTACTGTGGAACACAATGAATACACACGTTAAAAAAATTGGATTTCAGGGTTATTTTTCATGTGCATTTGAGAGTTATTTTTCATGTATATAACACAAATAAGGGATTTTTATTATTTTGTTTATTGGCATTTGATTTCAACAGAACTCTGCAGTTTATATTTAAAAAAAAAAAAAAAAACTCTACATGACAGTTAACAAGGCTCTACATAATAGTTTTATTTTTGTAAAACTGAATGCAATTTCACTTTCCTTGACAAAATTTTAAAATTATCTTAGTTGATAACTCATTTCTATTTTAATGAAACAAGGCAGTGAAATTTGTTTAATCACTTAGATTCTAAAATTTTATTTTTACTGTATTAAAATCAAGAATTTTTTTCCCCTCCTATTTCTTCAAATTCTACAAGTTTATGGGAATAAATAAGATAAAACTTCCCTTGCTCAAAGAGAGAATTACATAAAAACACTCAATTTATTTATTTATTTATTTATTTTTGGAAAGGAGGACTTGTTTTGACTTAACAGTAGTCATGAGTAACCGAAGAACCACTCTAATTTCACACAACTCGGAGGGGTAAGGAACATCTCTTAGGCTTACAGCACATTTAAATGAATATTTTTCATATTCATGCCATTAAAATGTGGATTAATAATCTCTTGCTGTTGACCCTGAAAATGAAAAAATTTAAAAACTAAAAGTGCAAGGACTAAATTTATTAATTAAACTTTTTTGTACTAGTGCTGTAAAATAAAAATTTGATATTACGTATTGATAATAATATTTAAGATATGCACTTTGTTGTAATGCATAATTATGAAACCAGGCTATGTTTTTTATTAAAACCAAGACTAAAGGCAAACAGATTGGATTTTGAGCCAAATTCAAGGAAAAAATTGCTCCTATGTAATAACCAATATTATTTTTCACATTTAACATTTTATCTTCTTCAACATTATTGATTTAGTGAGATAAATAATGATTTTGTAAAGAATTATGACATACCTTGCCATAAAGAATTAAGAATTATGGCATACCTTGGCAATGTCTTACAATGCAGATGGTTAGCACTGCTGAAGGCACTGTTAATTTTTCACATTCCCTATATTGAAAAGCTCAATAGTCCTTGCATTGGCACCTAAATTTTAAAAATTTTCTGAACATAAATTCTTACCATGCAAATTTGGTTAATTCTTTGACACGCACGATATTATTTTTATAATTTTTTTAAATTAAAAACTCTAGAAATTGAATATTATGATCCTAGAGACAAATAATATATGAATTAAAAAAAGTCTACTCTTGCCCATTGTTCTGTGGGTGGTGGTCGCACTGTGAAACCACCACGCATATAGGACTTTGAAACATACTGATGTAGTAGGAAAAAAAAACTTACCATTTTCCGCGCGCGTTTCCAATAAATGACGAAATTTACGGATTTTAAAAAAATGTATGTAAGAATTGCATTATATAAATTTTTTACATTATTTTGCAAAGTAAATCATCAGAAAAAATTAAAAAATAAGTATTTATGTAATTTTTCTGTAGCAGTGAAAATATAAGTACCTACATAATAAGGACATTTGAATAAATGGATTAAAAAACTCAATAAATGAAGGATAGAAAAGAACTCGGTGTTTTTTTTTTTTTTTTTTAAATTTCAAAGAACAAATTTTTTTTGTGACACTGTTCAAAGCATGTTTTTGTTTCTTTAGTACATGCATAGACCCACACTGCACGTTTCGCATATACATCTTGTACTATGAGGTTTCTTCCTTGTGCTACAAAATGTACACGGCTTGGATTTGAATTTCACTGGCATATGTCCAGCATTATTTAGTTTCTTTTCATCTGGCACATGAAATTTGTGGTTTTTTATGTTAATGGGGGGGGGACTTGGTTTTTTTGGCTTTGTACGGATCGTTCGTTTCCCATTCATACTTATTTTATTCGTATTTCATCCCAAAATATTCAGAAAATATTTTAAATTTAAATAAAACTTTTATGCACTATCTATTTTTAATTATAGCAAAGTATATATACAGTCAAAAGTCGTTAATCCGGACTCGTCGGGACTTCAGCTATTCTGGATTATCGATTTTTCCGGATTATAGATCATCAGTTTAAATCTGGTAAGATGGCATGCAGAAATTACAAAATTAAAAATATGAAACCATAATTTATGAAATAAAGAACAATTATGATCTAAAGGGTATCAAAATTTACAAAAAGAAAAAGCTTAATATTTATTTGTTTACTTTATTAAACATTTCCTTCAATGTAAGTTGCTTCGTTTCATGTGATAATACTTTCTCTTTAATTCTATTAAACAGACATAATTTCTTGTTTAGTTACAAAGTTCCGCTGTTCAAGTCCTATAATTGCTGTGTTGAGAATACCGACTAATTTGTCAATCGAAATGTTTTCGTTTTCAATAACCTCTGGGTCACTTTCTTCACTATCGGAAGCGAATTATAATGACGAGGAACTTGATTTAAATCATATCAAAGACAGAATGAAATACTACACTTAGTATGGAATTATAAACCAAATAAAATAAAAACATCTGCCTGAAGATAAGGATAGTGCTGACAGATCAACTTCCAATCCGCTGTGTGAAATTGATAAACAGATTTCGGATTTCAAAACATACTTTCGCTTTGTAGATACAAATTACATATTAGTAAATATATATCGGAAATTCTATTTGACATAATCTTTCTAATCTATCATAATCTAATAATGACGTTTCTGCCCCCCCCTCTGCCGCAGAGCAGCGTGAAATTGATAAACAGATTTCGGATTTCAAAACATACTTTCGCTTTGTAGTAAATATATATCGGAAATTCTATTTGACATAATCGAAAGTTCAAGCTTACTTTTATAAAATTGCTCTAACAGTCTGCAAAAAATAATAAGCCGGATCCAATTCGAAGATTAAGGAACAACGCAATCTGCAACATTAACTGAATTAGATAACTTTAGCTTAGCGTATAACTCCGTTACACATTTAAACGCGCATGCGCACAAACATATTCGCAGCCGTAAGGGTCTTACGCGCTCTCGTAAACGCCTGTGCGCATGCATGAACGCGACGCATGCGCAGAAAGTTTGTAGCTTTGAGGTCCGGATTATAGATCATTCCGGATTATGGGTGTCCGAATTAACGACTTTTGACTGTACATTAAATTTAAACCTCAGGAAATAATTTATAATACTAGCTTGTGGAGCAAGTGTGTTGATGTCAGAGAAAAGTATATGGAAAAGAAAGACCTTTTTACTGGGCAGGTGCATGTATTGTTTAGTAATAAAATAACTCTGTGGTTTCGAAGCCCTTTATCTATATCTGGGTAAAAATAAACATTCCTATTTCAAAAGCAAGCGAACGCCATTGAGAAGCAAACGCCAGTGGTTTCAAGGCGCGATTACCGAGCCTCTAGAGGATTGTAAGCATTGTGACACAATGCTCTAGTGGTGCAGTGGTCATGCCCTGAAACCACATAGCAAATGCCATACATATAGAGGGTTTTTTTTATATATGCAGTTTAATTACTGCAATTTTTTATTGTTTATGATAGAAATCATGATATACGATGACTAACTTTTGAAATTTAAAGTTGTTTATATTAATAAAAGGAAGTTATTTTGTCTCATGGAAAACGAATTTTAAAAGGCATCCGATCTGAAGTATTAATACCTAAAACATATATTATTCTACAGTCATTTTGATATAAAAGATCAGTAATCAATTCATTTTCACTCAAACATTTTGGAAAAAAGAGGAGAAAAAAAATTTGGAAAATGGTGGTTTCAGGGCGGGACCACTGCTCGTCAAAGGGTTAACTAACTGTTAACCCTTTTCCTGTTCACCTTTTAAGCAAGAAAAAGTGTTTATCATGTATAACAATGCCATAAGATTTTTTTTTTTTCTTCTCCCTGTAATATTTTGAATAAGATATTTCTATCTGAAACAGTTCTGCTTGACGATGTGTTTTGAGTATAGACCCAGGATGTTTTAAAAAGCTAAGAAAAGTGTTTCTCCTGTAATTCTGCATCACGTAGGTATTTGCATAAGTCAACTAGTAAGATATCCTGGAATGAGCATTCCCGGAAATGTTTCTTTTCGTGTGCAGTTGCAGGTAGCAAGCAGATCTGATAGCAAATGATTAAGGAATTATCACATTTCTCTGTATGTGTTTTTGTGATATAGTTAGGACATTTAACTGTAGCCTGTTACTTTAAAATAGGAACTTCAAGGTTATTTTTGCCATCTAGTTTGACTCATAACCACGGGAACAACAGCTGCTGACAAAAGGTTGCCTGCTTAATCCTCCCTGCTTCATTTGCATTTAGCATGTTTCCCTTCTGGAAAAGAGCATAAATTAAGTCTGACTTGAACTGAAGTCTCAAATGACACGAAGAAAATAAACGCTGAGCGGTGATAATGGCAGGTGTAACGTCGCAAATGGTGGGACTGGCTTGAAATGCCTGTTTTAAGAAACAGACTACAGCACTGAAAGATCTATGGTTTGAATCCTAGTGAAGGCACAGTTGAAGTTTTTACATTTCTCAGTTTTGAAAGCTTTAAAGCTTATGCAAACTTAATTAATATTTAACACAAGAATAAATAAATTATGGAGTCTAGTTTGTTCTTTATTATTTTATTGTAGTTTTGTTATATTTATATATAGGGGTGGCTGCTCGGAGTTATTACCAGAAAAGGAGGGGAAGAAGCAGCTGATAGTCATTCTGTTATATGTATGGATATATATATATAAAAGGCATACTTTTAAATTTCCTTTGACGTTGCACAAGTCTTAATTCAAAACTCCGATCATAATTGTGCCCATTGTTAGCTGATTTGAGGTATGACAAATATGAATGTTCTTTTAATTTATGGCCTTATAACTTTGGATCTTTGTTGTTTTTTTAATTATTTTCCAATTTTATGATTTTTTAAAGTCTAAATTGTAATACAGAGTGAATTTTAATTTTCTCTTTTCTTGAAGTTGTTATACGGAAATACTGTAGTATAGTTTTTATTTTATGAGAATAAAACTGATATTAGGTTTAATGAAATTTAAACGAAATTTTTGTTACCATTCAAATCCCTTATGACTCTAAACTTTCTCTTGAGTAATATATGGTATGTTTCCAAGATTCTTCTTTAGATATTTTTAAATGCAAACTCAGAATACTTTTTCAGCAAAATGCTGAGAAGCATTTTTTATCAGCTTTTTGAAAAAAGGAAACCCTCTAAAAATGCTAGTGCAAATTTTGATAATTATTATATTTTTGCCTAGGATTAAATTATACTGGCTTTTTAGTGAACTTGTTAATATATTGTCCTTCTCTTGTTAAATATAATAAAAAAAATCTAAATTAAATTTTGAAAAAATCACACATTGCATTGTTATCAACAAACAGTATGTCTACAAAATTTGAATTTGATAGCTTATCAGGAAGCAAGTTAAAAGTCAGCAACAAAATTCCACTCACAGTGAGATACTAAGGGTGAGCTTAATGAAAGCTTAAGAAAAGTATTTTTATTTCTCGTATGGCTGAGGAATATTAAATGAAGGTTTTTCCATTTTCTGCAGGTTTTAATGAAGGATGTAATGACTCCTGCACCTCCAGAAGAAGTTAGAGCTGTGATAAAAAAGTGCTTAGAAAATGCAGCCCTCGTAAATTATACACGGATATCAGAACAGGCTAAAATTGAAGGTATTTATGCTAAACTATATCATGTGCATGAACTGAAAATGAAAATGTAAATAAATAAATATTTTATTACCAAATTAGCCATACAATAACAACTGCCAGTGTATGTGAAACTAATTCTTTAACCCTCTGAGTTAACATGGCTTTTTGAATTTTCTCATGAAGACCTATATTTAAACAGCACTTATTATTTAAATTTATACAATTAATTACTTTGTCTGTGTTTTCATAAACTTCCATTAATTCGGATGATATTTACATAATTAAAGAAAGGGAAAAAGAAAAATATTTAAAATTATAAGCTGTTATATACCTAGGCACAAAGAAATTCATGACTGATGGTCATACCACTCTGTACCTTATGTATTTAATGGGAAAATTTTTAGGAGTACAGTGTATTGTTAGATTATGAAAGAGGCAAATGATAACAAACTGTAAATAATATAATTTTTTAGTTACAAAATTACACTTAACATGCATATTTTATTTAATCATTACTTTATGAAATCATCAAACTTACCAAACGTTGTTAGACACGAATGATTGGACAAATTTTAACATTATTGATCTCGAAATTGTTATGTATTTTAACATTTGTTAGAGTTTTAATTATAATTGGAGTCTTTATAAGCATTGCAGTAAACTAATGCTGAAAGAAAAATTTGCATTTGTTGTGAAGCCTTTGTTCATGGGATTTTCTGAAAACACTTCCATTATTAAATACCTTGATTTAAAGAGAGAAGTTTAAATTTCACATTAATGTGAAAACTGTTTTAAAAAGTACTCTTAGCATGAACCCTTTATTTTCACATGCAACTTAACTTTCCTCTTCACTGCTGATGTAGGAACTCCAGAATAGAAGCAGCTGTATTTAGTGAATAAATTAAAATGTTAGAATGCATATCAAGACTTAATATGGTTCAGAAAGAGATTGTTATGAGATTTGCTTTGAGTTCCTGTTGATCTGAGTATCAGAAAGCATTACATCTGAGTTTATGAGCAGAGATTTCTCTTAAGAACTGTTTCAAGCTTTTAAATCTTTGAAATGCAAGAGATACTGTCAAAAATTTAAAATATGTTATTTCCAAATTAGGGAAAACAGGAAGATAAAATTCAGAATAAAAGTCGTTTCAAATTATGATCCTGATGTTTTATGAATCTCCATAGAAACTTTATTTAAATTTGGTAATTTTCTCATAGGCGATTCAGTTGTTCAATAAGAAAAGCACTATGAAACCATTAGAATTTTAAAATAGGAAGAGTATTGTATGGTACTATTAAAAAATTGTGATGGAAGAAAGTCTTTAGAAAGTTAATGAGATTCCAGATTCCTAAAGAGGTTTACTGCACTAATTGTGCTAAGTATTGTTCGGAAATCAACCATATAATTATGTTTTCTCAAATGAAGTAATATGAGAATGCTTTCAGACTTGGAAGGGAAAATGATGATAAATTGTCTAATAAGTAGCTTAATTACAAAATTTTAGATGTCTTACTTGAAGAATATCATTTAGTCATGCCAAGTTGGTTAATTCTGGGGAAAGATAAGTGAGCAGTTGATGAGTTATCAACACAGCTTTGCTTTCATGAAGAGAAAGTTAAAGTTCATGAAAAGCAATGTGACTTGAATGATTTTATTGACAAATTGATGGTCAGTTTTGTTGCTTATCATTCTGAAATTGTCTAGTGTTTATTCAACATTTTAGAATTAACTATAATCAAACTTCTAATGACTAACAATAACTGTCTGTTCAGATCTTTGTAAAGAGCCTCACTAGGGACCAGGTGGTTAATGCTGAGTGTTTGTTGCCTAGTTTGATACGCATTCAGCATTCTTATATGGAATATTAGAAAAATCCATATGTAGGCAGCCTGCAAGAAAGGTTCAATGATAGTTTGAAAGAAAATAACTCTTATGTTCAGATTATTATTATTTAAATTACTCCCACCTAGATACTTTCTAGCATATAGCACCTTGCAGTTCAATAAGTAAAGGAAATTTCGCATGTAGTCGGGAAAGTTGTAAAGAAGCCCGCTGAAAGACCATCTCGCAAAGCAATACAGTCAAAAGTCTTTAATCCGGATTTTTCAGGACTTCTGCGATTCCGGATTATTGGTTTTTCTGGATTATAGATCATCAGTTTAAATCTGGTAAGATGGCATGCAGAAATTATAAAATTAAAAATATGAAACCGTAATTTATGAAATAAAGAGCAATTATGATCTAAAGGGTATAAAAAAAAGAGCTTAATATTTATTTGTTTACTTTATTAAACATTTCTTTCAACAAGCATACATTACGCATAGTCGAAATTAGAAAATTGCAACCAGAAAACCAGTGACATAGCGAAGGGGGGGCAAGGGGGTGTATGATGCCCTGGGCGCTGCTCGCAGAGTGACGCCAAACGGTCTCCAAACAAGATTTTCCAGAAAATTTCAGTTTTTATTTCGATCAATTTCTGGAAAATATATTTAAAATTAATAATTATTGTGATATAATTAATTACTTATTTTCTTGATTTGTCTCATAAAATGTGTAATAAAATGTTTGCAGTACATCAACGAAATATATCCGCATACAAAACGCTCTTTCTGACCAATTTATTTCTCTAAAACAGAGATATATTTTTATTTTTTTAAATGAAATGTACGTATAACTCCCGTTTTTTTTATTTTAAAACCATAATACGACCTTGTCCCGGATTTCTCAGACTTATCCAGTTTCTAAAAAAAAAAAACGATTTCATAGTCTGGAAATGACATTTTCGAAAACTCCTAACGCTTCCGCTGCAATGAATTGCATTTGACTATCCTGTAAACAACTGATGCTCTTCCTGGTTACCGATTAATCATAGTCATCTTGCTGAGACATCGTATATTCACTGCTACAAAACATTCAACGTGTGTCAGTTGTTTTTAGTCTTCTACTAAAAAGGAATGCTGCAAGTCGCTCCTTACTCCTTATCTAAAATGCATAGTTTCCGACGTCACAGATTAAATTTGCATATTCCCAACTTTGTAAACGTTATAATTTTCCTTTATAATCTCTTCTATTTCCTTTTGTTAAAAGGTTGTCGATTATCCGGTTATTTAATACCAAACTCGCAATGTCCCCTAATTCTTTTGAGCAGTGAATGTCTGCAAGATGTTATTCTGCAGTAGAAAAGAAACTGAACCTAAAACTCCATTACAGATATATGGAGAAAATGTTTTTCTAAACCAAAGAGTAGCACTTCAAATACTCCTTACTATTTCATTATCAAATGAAATGATAATGATAACTATGAGCGTTCGTTCAGCAAATTAAAATAAATTTTGACATATTTTCATCAACGATAGGTCCCCTAAGACATCTAGCATTTTTAAATGTGGAAAGAGAAATATTTAAAATGACCGACTTTGATGAGATAATTGATAAATTTGCTTCATCAAAGACAAGAAAAATGTTTACATAGTAATTAATTACATTAATGTATTATAATACTATATCGTTACTAATAAATATATCTACTTTATCTATAACATATATTAAACTTTTAATTGTTTAAAACTGTACTTTTTAAAAACAGTTACATAAATAAGTAAAAAAAATAATACCTTTTTAACTAATTCTAGATCATCGTATGTCTGATTTTTCCACCGACACAGATACATTTCCGAATCCAATGCTAGTGTAGTTAGGTAGTGACTGATCTTAATACATTTTAGAGTATTTTATGGCAGATTCAGCATTTTATTATTATTTGCATTATCTTCTTATTATGAATATATTCTATACATTATATTACAGTAAGTGTTTTCTTTGGGAAGGCGCCAAAAAAGGTATTTTGCCCCAGGCGGCAGTTATGCTCGCTACGTCACTGCAGAAAACTATTTGATGTGTATTCGTGATATTTATAATGACGAGGAATTTGATTTAAGTCATATCAAAGACAGAGTACATTGAGATGAAATACTACATTTAATAAGGAATTATGAGCCAAATAAAATGAAAACATCTGCCCTGAAGATAAGGATATTGCTAACAGATCAACTTCCAGTTCATTGCACGCCGCGACGTTATCCCTTCCCCGGCAGAGCAGCGTGAAACTGATAAACAGATTTCAGAATGGTTAGAGAAGTATGCTTTTGCTTCGTAGATCCTTTGGCAGCTCCAGAATTGGAAATTCTTTTTGACATAATCGAAAGTTCAAACTTACTTTTATAAATTGCTCTAACAATCTGCAAAAAATAATAAGCCGGATCCAATTAGAAGATTAAGGAACAATGCAATCTGCGACATTAACTGAAATAGATAATTAGAAAATTTTAGCTTAGCTTATACCGTCCATTATACATTAAACGCACATGTGTAAATGTATTATGCGCATGCGTAGACGCATTATGCATTGACGCATGCGCAGAAAGTTTGTAGCTTTGAGGTCCAGATTATAGATCATTCCAGATTAAAGACTTTTGACTGTATAAGAAAAAAGATGCTGTCCAGTCATTGAAGCAAAGGCACAGATTACGGATTCTGGGGAGTCAGCAAGTCCAAATCTAAAAATATGAGCCTGTAAGTAATCAAGCTCAGATTATGATAGCTTATATGGACTAAAACAAGCATTGTGCTGGCAGAATGAATAATTTGAAACTGTTTTTCACTACCTGATTTCAAAATGTACAGCTAACTCACATTTATACAGAAGAAATAAATGTGAAAAGAAGCACTGAAGTTAAAACAATTGAATTCAGAGCATATTTTCATGCACTTGAAATTCAGCATCTTAAAGATGGAAGCATCAGAATGGTTTATCGATCTTAGCAAGAAAATTCTGGTAGAGAAAACTGCAAAACAGTATTAACTCTTGTGTTGGTACTGAATACTGTTGAAAAGAAAAATGAGCTCCTACAGGTAGGCTGTAAGTACTTCAAGGCCCAAGACCAAATTTAGCATAATGTGGTGATATTTTTCTATGCTACCATGAAAGTATGCCCCTAAATAATTAAATCGATGTAAAACATGTAATTAAGACGCATAGGTTCTTTTATTACAGGCATCATGCCCAAAAGTAAATGCAGATGAGTGTTCTGCAGCAGCCCAGATTTTGGAGAATGTCAAAATGCAGAAAATGTTATGAATGCGACTGTAATATTGCATAGCGGTGAAGCTACATCATGGATAAGTCAAATGTAATTGATCATTGCAACTTTAACAATGGAAAGAAAATAGAAAAGAAAAGAGATAATTGCAGCAAGTGAATGTCCAGATTTATCTAGTTAAATCTGTTGTTTGATGATACTCTGCATGTTTTTGAAATTCCTGTAATTCAGTTAAATTATTTTACTGCAATAAAACTTGCACAAAATCTAGAATTTACTTGATACTTAAAAACTTTTTTTTTTTTTTTTTTTTTTTTTTTTTTTTTTTTTTGCACAAGAAAAATATTTTGAAAAGCAGATTATTGTGTAGTAAATACAGTCTAATTAATAAACATGATGTGTAAACTACTGTTTAAACTATTGTATTATTGTTGGCTTTTTGTTTTTGGATAAAATTCTGAGGATTTTCATTTTTGCTTCTTTATTATTATTTAAAATTGGCAAAGAAAGGGTAAAAAAGGTATTTTCTTGCTTTTTTTCTATCCCCTTTTCTCTTCATGTACATTAAAAATATTTAAACATGTACATATTCTAAACAAATATTTTATAAATCAGACTCACGACAAACATTAACATTTTTGTTTTAGAAACAGAATATTTTTTTAATTGTTTCCTTAAAGCATCTGTTAATTGTTTTTAATTGTTCCTTAAAGCTATCTGAACAATAATCTTTAGCAAAGCCTGTTATTGAATTTCATTGCTGCTAAATATCTTTCCATTCACAATCAGAAAATTTTCATTTTCTTACTCTTCCTGTTTTCTTTCATTTCTTTTCCCCCTTCTATGCTGGTCTTGACTTTATAGGTACAGAAGCTGCCAAACAGCAGCAGCAGCAGCAACAACAACAGCAACCTCAAGATGAACAAGGTAAAAGATGGTGCATGCTTCTATCTCCTGCACTTGCATGATATATATTTTAGTCATTTTTGCCTTTGAAAAAAATTGCTTGATTTTCTCCTCCACTTTCTTTTAAATCTGAATGCAAATTGGGGAGGGAAATGAAATATTTAGATCATAACTAATGATGCTATGAGGATTTTTTTTTTTTTTTTTTTCAAATTTTATTTTAAATGCCAGAAAATAACAACCTGGAATAGAGGTGCCACTATTTGATCCGTAATATTTATGTGGAAAATAAAAAGATCTGAGATTTAAACAGTGAAATTTGTTTCCTTATATTGGTCATATTTAACAGGATTCATTTGCAGAGTTAAACTTATATGAGTTAATACATATACTGCTATACACATAATCAACACTTCACTGAGCCATTTGGGCCTTGTTAATCATATGTAGCCAACAATGCATTTGGGTTTTAACTTGAAATATATTTATGTTGGTCAATTTTTTCATGCATTATTGTATCAAGCATGATTGTATTTGTGTATTCTTTAAAAAATTACTAATATGGGCAGCTGTGAGGCTGCAGTGGCTACGTTTGACTGACATTTTTTTTTTTTTTTTTTTCCCCACTATTGTTATTGCTTTTGAATGGAAGGACATAAAAACGTTACAATAGCAATCTTTAAATGTTGTGTGTCATAAAAAGTTAAAAGTTTTTTGCTATTATAGCCATTTGTTAATGCTGCAATATATTGCATCATAAATTAAAAGTTTTGAGGTAATTGCATTATTAATTAGATTTTCATAATAATATTTATTAAAACTGAATTTATTGATATTGATTGCTGTCTCAGAATATATAATAGAAATTATTTTTTGCTTCTGAGCTATTATTTTGGATTTGTTATTGATTTCAAGAACAATTTCTAAAACCATGAAACTAGATTTAATTGTATTTTTAAAAGCAGTTTGAAGATAAAACTTTATAAATTTTCCACCTTAAATATGCTTTATAATATTATAGTTACTTTTGTGAGTTAATAGATTTTATAAATTTTGTGAGATGTTAATAATTTATGAAAAGAGTTATGTTAGACTTTGAGACTGCAAAATTCTTGCTGTATGATGAGTGTATTATGGAATTCATTGAAATATATGGTAACTAATTATAACTCTTTATCTTTATATATAATATATATCAAAATTTCAGTTTAATATAATTAGTTTCTTACATTTTAAAATTTGACCTAGTTTGTGTATTGATTTTATAAATAAGAGGACATGCTAGGTTATTTTGGGAGAAAATCACTAGCTTCAGAAATAGAGGTGTAAAGAATTATTTATTATGACTATGTTTTTTGTTGATAAATTAAATATAAAATACTTTGATTGTATTTAGGGGGAGATTATATGTACGAGTTAAATTTTTGTTAAAACTGTACTTGATGTAAATTCATTAAAAACTCAAAGGAAAATAATGTTTTTGGGTAAAATGAGCAAAAGTAAGAGTTTATTTTTTTTTAAATAAAGTTAGCATACATTATAAACAAGTGGGTGGCTAAGTTTTCTCAGGTTTAAACTATGAAAAATCATATGGTGTAGAGCAAGCTACTAATTACTATTTTAATATAGCACACCATCTGTTTGCAGTTTCTAGCTGAAATCTTCTTATCATTCATCTGATCTTTTGCTTTAGTTGAAGGCTGCCACATATTTATGATTTGATATTTTTTTTTTTTTTTTTTTTTTTTTTTCATTTCATTAAACTGTTTTATATCCAATGTGTTTGTATCTGCACTATGAAATGCATGGTAAATTTGAGCCATTTGTTGAGGGAGAAAGATTATTTTCTTTAAATAAAATGCATGAATACACATTTAATGCACTTTTATATGTATTGGAATTTTCATTTGCTATTAATTCAGTAAGTATTCAAAGTTTTTATCTTCTTATATGTAATATAATTAATGAATTTTTTTTTTAAATTTTATTTGTAGTTAGGGTTTTGTTTTATTGTAAAATGAAGTATGTAAGTTAACTAGTATTCATTTTTCAAAAATTATTTCTCTGAATGATGTAATTAGCACTTTGGTTTCTGATGCAAAATGTTCATCAGATTTATTAATATTTCTGCTTGAAATATATGAATTGCTTCCTTGCTCTTTATTATAATTACTTTACAGGTCTCTTCACTATAAATAATTATGCATATAGGTTATTTAATTAATACATAAAGACAACTATAAAACTACACACACACATGTAAGATATAAAAATATGAAAAAAAATTATTAATAAATTGAAACAAGTTGTTAATTGACCTCTAACTTGCTAATTTTTATTGTAATTGTGATTTAAGCATAATCCCTTCATTGCCCAGCGGCCGAGCGGTAAAATTACTGAACGCTGGTAATTCTGACCTTGTTTTGATTCCAGGCAAACAGACTAACTGCACGATTGTTTTCATGTTTTTTCTATCTATAGTCTTCTATGAAGGTATTCCTCCCCTTAGGCATACAGCCCTAGTGCACTCCGCCATAATCAGCTAAACCAAACCCTTCAAGATATCTGCATTTTCCTTATCTGCATTACTGTAAACTTTTGCCAGTTGCTTCTCAGGATTAAAGGAAAGACTTTCCATGCTTAAATGGTATCGCAACTGACTATGAATTCTCTTTTGCTACTCCGCCTTCCTGCTGGCAACATGTTGATTAGCCTCTCGTAGCTATTCTTCATTATTTGAAATGTAACTATGTATCTAAAATTATGGGGGACATTTAGCATCCTAGTGTTCTACCAATTAAGAGCATATGTGCTAAAATATTATGATCCAATAATAAATTATGTTTAACTAATACATAAATATTTCATTGAAACAAGCACAATTTCAGAATGTTATCCAATTATCCACTGCACTGAAGTTTCCAGCCATTTTTCAGGTGTTTTCTTAGGCATGATTAAAAAGTGAATTGGTGCATTCCCTAATCGAGATGTTCTTTAATATCTAGTTATTTACAGCCAAATAAATCATCACACACACACGCAAATATATATTTTAGCAATTAAATCCAGTTTGATTATCTCCTAGGAAAGAAAAGCAAATATTAATTTTTAATTAAAAATTATTGAAAAGAGGGATTTTTAAAAATCTAAAACTTATTAAATGAAGTGCATATTGTGGAAAGTAAAAATTGTAAAATGTAAATGTACAAATTTAGTATAAATTTTTTTAAATATATAGAAATATTTTATAAGAAAATTGCTGCTGATTCCATAGAAAGATCCTGACATTTCAAAGAGAATTAATTATTCTTCCTCCATAAAATAACCAATAATTCAACTGGCAGCATTTCATCTCTCTCACATTTTTGAATAATACTCCTATGCCAAAATGTAAAAAATGCAAAGTGGTATAAAGTAATATAACTTCAGAATTAAAAACTTTGATATTTAATGATTGCAAAAGAAATTCCCCTACCCAGTATATGATAGCATATGTAGAGACAAAAAATGTAGTAAACAATAGAATAATATGTAAAACTTAAAATAAGAATCAGTAGTTACAAAGTAAAAGTTATTTAATATATATAATTATAATACAGTTAAAAACATTCAAATAGTCTTTTCAACATTTGCATTTTTACATCGACCGAAACTAATTTTAATTATTGCTTACAGTTAAAACACCTGTTAAATATTGTAGGAGCTATTGTCCTATTCAGTGTGGACGCAGATGTGCAGCTGCATGTTAAGAATGCCTAGAGTTGCCACATTAGGAAAGTTCAAGTAACTATTTTGTTATGAGCAAATATTGAACTGCTGAGAAAAATAAAGAAAGAAGCTTTCTGATTAGCTATGGAACAAGAAAATTAAACTGAACTGGAGGAGTTGCAGTTGGCGAAAATTCTTTATTCTCTTTGGCAATGTTCTGGATATTAAAATGATAAAACTAATTAAAGGCTCAGAGCAGAAACTAATAAGTTTAGAATTATTTCTGGCTAAAACTTAGGGGAAAAGAAAATAGGTATAAAATATGTGCAGTCTTAATATGTACACTGCGCCAGAAAAAAAGGGGGGACAGTTTTATATCTTCCTGTTCTACTGGGCCGATTTACAAAATTCAACTTGCATTTTTCACGTCTCGAAAGCGTGACTTAGTATATATATTAGATTTATGTATAGCATTGTTCTAATATAGGTATTTTGACACAAAATGACTTTTTTTGAAATGACATGCCAATTTTTTTACATATTTCGATTCTACGACTTAAATAATGCCTAAATATAAAATTTTGTGAAATTTGGCACGAAATTTATGGAGAAATTTAAAAATCTATCTTGTCATATTTTTTTCAGTTTGTGCCACGAATAATTCACTTTGCGAACTTCTTAATTAATAGCAACCTATTTTCCTTTCCTTTTTTTCATTGTACACGAGCAGAAAAAAGCTCTCGTTCATTACTTTCAAATAATTTTAACAAAGTGCGTAAACCACATTTGAAGTTAATGCTTGTAATGAATAATGCCATATTTCAAAATATGCCAATATGTAAATTCACCTATATCTTGAGAAGTTTTAAATAAAAAACTCTAATTTTTTGCAGATGTATCTACAAAATATCTACTTTAAGATGATGTTAAAAATTTTATAGGTTATGATACATAAATTTTTTTGAAAAATTTATACAAAATACAAATTAAAAAAATTAATCATAAAAATGTGCGAATTTTAATTGCATTAAGCCTAAATTTTGAATTCTGGAAGAAGGAATCAAGTACGTTTAACAAAGAAAGAGATATTAATAAATATATATCAAATTCAATTAACAATGAGGAGCTAAAATTTTGAGAGCTAATGTTTTAAAATCTACTTGTGGAATTTTTACAAAACTTGGCAGTTTGACATAATTTGTGTTGTAGAATCGAAATATGGAAAAAAAATTCTTGTCATTTCAGGAAAAGTTCGATTTTGTGTCAGTATGGCTATATTAGAACAATTCTACATATAAATCTAATACATATCTCAAGTCGTGCTTTCGAGACATAAAAAAAGAAGTGAATTTAGTCAATCGGCTCAGTAGAATAGATATAGAAACTGTCCCCCCTTTTTTGTGAAGTGTACATGTAAACTGTATACTTCTTTCCAGACAAAGGTTCCTTTTTATCAAAAAAATTTGAAATGACTAAGTTTTTTTTTTTTTTTTTTTTTTTTTTTTTTTTTTTAGTTTAAACTAAAAAAACTATAGTAAAGGACCTTTAAAGTAAAAAAAAAAAACAAAAATCGAATTAAAGTACTTTTATTTCATCATAATATATAGACGTGTATGTTTATATTAATATAAATAATCTATGGAAATGAAACTTGAATTTTCTTTACGTGCTTACATTCATGTATGTCAAATGAGTCTTGTATAATGTATTAAGTGCTTTATATAATTGCTTAAAAGTATGAAAATTTGTTATTTCGTTTCAAGTACTTTCTTATTCAGCTGTTGTTATTAAAGATTTATAATTTATGTACATAAAGAATGAGCATGGAGATTTTAAACAAATATTTCTGTACCATTCTGGATGTGTTATTTATGCTCATTTAAAATAAGTTTGGAGTTATTCATTTAAAATTATGTAGTTGCCATATTGATAATTGGTTACTAAAACATAACACAAAATAAATTAACTAACCATACTCTGTAGTTTTTAATTTAATAATTTATATTAGATGAATTATCACATTCTCATTTTTATAAATATTTTTATAAAATAACCTTTTATGGGCAGTAGCACATTTTCTGATAAGTATATTGTATAATTTCAGAAATAATATCATAATTAAAGATCAAATTAAATGTTTTTTAATATATAATAATAACTGGAGTTTTCTGTTACAGGTAAATTTTAAATTAGTTTAACATTCTGTAAAATCTCTCGTTAAAAAAAAAATTGCTATATAGCTGTATTGAAAAGTAAGTGCTGACAGTTGTGTATCAGATTATGTCATAAATTTAAGAAGGCGTGTTAGGATTTGAATATGGAATAGCACACAAGAGCTATCTGCCTAACAGGAAGGATACATTTGTAGAGGATTTTCTAAAGAAAACTGGCTCACATTAAGATTACAAAGCAAAAAAAAGAAAAAAAAAAAAAAAAACATGCATTTACTTGTTCGCTCAGGAAAACACATTAAAATGGTACTTTGTTGATGATATCTTGGTCCGTTTAGACGTTTATAAATAATTTTAGAATTTCAGAAAAATTGGAATTTTTTTGCTTTTTCAGATATGTGAGAATCACCAAGACCGGGGGAAGTTTTTTTCTCAATTTTTTTTGAAAAGTATAATATTATAGGCAGGGTTCTTAAACGTGGGTCGCGACTGTAGCGGAAGTCGTAAAAAATTTAGGCAGTTTTTTATTTTCTTTAACTTATTATAATAATTTTACAGTTCAAATATTTTACAAAATGTATCTGAAAATAGATAAACATAGTCAATACAGACAAAGAAAAAAAAAATGAACCATTTGACCACATTCTTTTTAATATCGTTCCTTCCTTGCTTTGCATGGACGCTGTCATTTCATTGTCTTATTAAATTTTCAACATGTTCTAGGTCTTTAAATTAGAAATTAAAGTTAATGACTTAAAACTGCAATAGTATATTACAGTAGAAGTAAAAAAATTGGCAGTTTCACTCACGCGCATGTCGGATTTACGCAATACTTATGGGATCCCACAAAATTTTTTTAAATATTATGGGGTCCTGGGAGTCGCGAAAAAATCTCAGTAATAAAAAGGGGTTGCTACTGAAAAAAGTTTAAGAAACCCTGCTGTAGAGATTAGATTAAGGCTACAAAGAGGAATTTAGGTATTAAAAAAATTGTTGCGATTAATAACTAAATTATGATGTTTTTAATGCAGAAACTTAGGAAGCACCAGAATTTAGTTTAGGAGAACTCTTGAATGCTTTCACTCAAAGAAAATAATCATGCAAGTTAAGTCAATACTCATTATACCATTTGATTCCAGTAAAATTACTAATGCAGAATTTATTCCTGGAATTTTTCTTATAGATCTTAAAATATTTGTTCAAGAATGTATAAATTTTGTCTGCCTTGCTATTAGTAAGGTGTGTAATCATTCTTGCATGATAGTGCATCATATCTGTAGGTAAGGATTGAGGATGAATTTTAAGCTTCCTCCAGGATAATTTTTGTACATAATCACCCTCTTTTACTGCCATATTTGCTTCTTCTGGAATATCTATTCCAGAAATGGAAACTGAAACTGAAAAATATGTATTTTGATGATAAAGAGTTCAAACCATCTTTCTAAGTTCCCAGTGCTATAAAGAAAAACTGGTGAGAGTGCTTTAAAACATTGTGTCCTGAGGCTCAAAGGATGCATTTTAAATAACATAAACTAAACAGCCTTCGTTAGTTGTTGCTAAGTTTATTTTTAAGGTCCTGAAAATTATAAATTAAATTATATATGGGAAGCATATATAATTTAATTTATATTTTTAATTTAATTTGCATTAGCAGGGTTAACTTTGAATTTTACTATTTTCTAAAAGTAATTTGCTTATCACCCCACACATCTGGAAAAAATTAAATCCTTTTTGCTCAAAACCAAATGCAGGACTAGCAGTAATTTAATTGGGTAATCTTATTCCCTTAGCTGCTGATGGGCTTAGAAAATTATGGGAAAAGCTTTGTTCAGCATAAAAAAAGGTTTTGCTCATGAGGAAATGCAAAAGAATAGTATTTGTCTAGCAAGTCATATTGTTTTCTTATTCTTAAATCTAACTGGCATTGGACTTTTTTCAAGATAACAAACCTAATTAAAATGATATATACAAGATAAAGTTTGACATCCACCATTTTGTTTTATAGAAATAAAAGTCCCCCCTCCTCCTATTTATTCTTTTTTTTTTTTTTTTTTTTTAGAAACAGGATGGATGAAAATGCATCGCCGCAGAAAAAACTTGAGGATTTAATTCACTTAGCAGAACTTTGTGTTGATCTTTTGCAACAAAACAATGAAAATTATGCTGAGGTATGTTGCAACTGTTTAGTTACTTTGAATTCTGGAATGAATATTTAAATTTATTCTTAAATTGAAAAGTTTTTTCAGATTGTTAATAAATTGCACCCATTATATTTATTCTGCATGGTGTAAATATTCTTATTTTTCACATTAATAACTTGGTAATAAAAGGGAATGAAGAAAAGAAGAAAAAAGGCATTATTTGCATGTTGAACATAAAAAATCACATCCTCTTTTAAGAAAGCATTTTGAACTTGTCTTGTATTTTGAAGTTTTATGTAATTATTTAATAATATTGTAATTGATTTTTATTAAGTGCTGCTGATTCTTTTGTATTAAAATTAATCTTGTATTCTTATTGTCATTAATATCAGTATTTGAATAGTATTTGTTTGAAATTAAAAAATTGTGAGCAGAAATTTTTGCCTGAGAAAATGACATATTTATTTTCATCCATATTTAGCTGTGCAGATTCTGAATGTATCATAGGAATTACATCCATTTTATGTCTTTCTTTGTCTTCTATAAGAATTATAGTTGTAAATAAAATCTAGAGCAGCTGTTTTATTTTTTTATGCTCGTATTTCTGTAAATTTGCATCTTAATTTGTCCTTAACTTACCTAATAACTTGCATGTTAAGTACTTTGTGAAATTAAACTGAAAGTACAAATATTTTCATCTTCCAGATTCATTAGACACTTTTCAATTAAGATTTGATGATTTAATGTCAGGAGCTTCCTCTCAACTCATAAATCACATTAAATAAATAAATCTCAGTCATACCTATGTGATAATTTTTCTGCTTTCTAAGGATTCCACCAGAATTATTCTTCTGTATCAAATTGAATTCCAAATGGAGCTTCTATTAGAGCATTCAGATTGCAATTATGTAGTTGTGATCTACAATGTAGAGAAAAGTTTCATCTCAGTTAAAAACTAAACTGTTTCTTAATTCTCTTACAGTTGTGTTCTTTTGTTTACCATCATTTTAAAACTAAGATTTTCCAACTTTGTGTGCACATGCCTCCAAAAGAACATTTAAGGAATATGTAAGGGTATCTGAAGAATTTGAAGTGAGATTGGGATAAGATACAAGTTACAGTATTAGTTGAGAATTATGATAGATACCAAAGCTGGTTTCTTCGCTGTACAATTAAAAAAAAAAAAAAAAAAAAAGCAATATTACCTTACTTTGTTGTTATAACAAATTTTGGTAAATTCTTTCTTGGATAATGTTGAATATCTAATTGTTGAGCTCTTTGGTCACAGCAACAACACATAATAGAGAGTTTAAATAATAGCAACTGCATTAGTTACAAACATTTTTTAATATATTTGGAAATAACTTCATGAGGCATAACTTCTTGAGGCTACACCTGTTTATTAAATGTTTAGTACATCTTTGATATCAGTGGATGTGCCCTATTGGAATTTACTTTAACTACACTGCTGGCCACTGTAAATGCAACACCTTGAAGGAAGCATGCAAATAACATGAAATTTACAACATGCGTTAGTGGAGGTGAGATATGCAAATGGTTAGAATTTCAGTGCAGACGCACATTACGCATGCCTGTGGTGCCACTTAAAGCGCTATTTAAGGCTTAGAATTTTCAACAATTTCAAATTCAGCTTTTTTTTTTTTTTCTTTTTTTTTTTTTTTTTTTTTGTTGTCGCGTGTTTGTGTGTGTGTGTTTCTTTCAAAAAAAAAAAAAAAAGAAAAGAAAAGATCAATATGCCTCGTAGAAAAAGCGATCAGCGTTGATCAAGTATCCGAGTTTTCAACGAGGAAGGATAAGTGGCCTACTGAGAGTGTGATGGAGTATTTCAGGGAAATCGGTTAGTCCGTGTTGGCGAAAACCAAGCAACTGTTTAAATTTGGGCGGATATTGACCGCGTTGGATGCAGGAGGTTATGCGGACCGAGTGTTCGATCGCTCCATCTCCAGTGCACCACTTACGTAACGACAGGACATTGTGCGCAGGGGGTGATGATTGCTCAGTTCCCATAAGAAACCATAGCACAGCACGCATTCAGTGGTAAGCATCATCCAGGGTCTGCGTGTGCAATTCGATGCCGTTTACAGAAGAATGGTGTCAAAGACGTCCATCTTCGTCACCTGATGCAAGAAACCACAGACGTCCCGCGCCAAGGTGCAATAATAAAAGAAGGATGTGGACGTCAAGCATAGAAGAAATTTCTTTACGAGAGTACATGGCTTCTGTCCTACAACACCACAATGTCGATTCGAGTCGGAGACCACTGTGGAGAGAGGTGCTGAACCGTCAGGTATGCACGCCACACTGTACTGCCCCGGATATTATGGTATGGGGCGGTTGTATGGATATCTCTTGCCCTCCTTAGTACGCATTGCAGGTACTTTCAACAGCCAGCGCTACTCTCTCGAGGTGTTGGAGCGTTGTTTGTACTTACCTTCAGGGCATCCCACAGCCATATTGCAACAGGAAATGTGCGAACTCATGTAGATTGAATTGCTTTCCTGACGGTTTGCTTTCCGGTCTTTTGCTGATAGAAACATGTGTCCATGGTGCTTGAAACGATTGACAAAGCTGCCACACCGACAACTTGCAAAGGTGGAAGTGCTTGGTTGACTGTACCACAAGGCATCCTATCAAAGTTCTATGAATCAATGCCGAAGCATGCGCAGCGGTGATCTCAAACAATGGCGGCTAGTTGCCGACTGATTCTGGAGGAAGGACCACACGTCACAGTCTATAAATTTCATCATTTGTCCTTGGTCAATTGTTATCTACTTAATAGATTTTGTATGTGAATCTCAGTCTTCTTGTGTTGCTATTTGAGTGGCCGGAGTGGGATTATTAGGAACTTAATTTCATTTTTACAGATGCCGTTACTTATGCAATGACATTCCATCATGTTCTATGATAAAATTGTTATAGAGCTATTACCAATGATCATCATAATATGTGTGCAATCAAAATGGTATATCAATCTCAGAATTTCAATATCGTTTTCTCCACATTTGAATGAAAAACTGAACTTTGAGGCTCTCATGAAGTGATACCTGTATCACTTTGAATGAATTGTAATTGGCCTTGTAGCCTTTGCATGGTATTATATAGTGAAATATACATTAACCAACTAAAACATGACCTATAAGGATTTGTAGGCTTAAACTATAGGAAGGCATTCACTGAAATGATATAGATGTTATGTGGCAACATGGGATCTTACTTAAAGGTTGTCAGAAATACCGAGGTATCATCGTGTTGTTTATGTGTGCTTGTAGTTGGAAAGGCTGTTGATTTAAACAAATTTTGCCAAAACCAAATTGTGATATCATTGAAATAGTATCACTCACTGAGTGCTCCCAAGCCACTACTATTTTTACCTGTGAAAAGTGGGAGAAGGATTGGGAAATTTATACTCATTGCAGAAGTATTCAATGTCCCTGCCTGATCAATGAATGCAAACATCAAAGACAGTCCAATCTGACAAAGGCAAATAGATAGCTGCCAGTGACTCAACTGATATATGAATGCAGTGCATATTTAAATAGAAGTGTATTTAATTACACTTCTATTTAAATTAGATAGGATTATCAGATTTTTGTTAGATATAAAACTCTGTGTCCATCTCTCTTTGCCTCCGTTAACCCAGCATTATTGATGTTTATGGCTATTACTCTGGGCCCAGGAATGTTATACTTGGATCTTAGAAAAAGTAAAAAAGCAACAAGAACTGACAAGCAGGGGGAGGGAGAGGCAGGAGGTGGGAAAGGAAGGGGGGGGAAAGGGGAAGGCAGGGGAAGGAGGGGATGGGGGAGGGGGGCCATGAAAGGGGGGGGAGAGGGTCAGGAGGGGGGAAGAGGAGCGGGGGTGGAGCGGGGAGGCGGGGAGGCGGGGGGGAAGAGGGGGGAAGGCAGGGAAGGGGGGCGGCGGGCCGGACCAAGGGGGGAGAGGCGGGAGGGGGAGGAGAGGAGGGGAGCGGAGGCGGGGGGGGGAGGTGGAGGGGGGGGAGAAAGGGGGGGAGAGGGCGAGGGGGAGGAGAGGGAGGAAGGGGGGGTGGGAGGGAGAGAGAGGGGGGGGGGGAGGAAGAGAGGTCGGCAACGGGCGGGGGAAGGAGGGGCGGACAGGGGAGGTAGAGGAAGGACGGGGCGGCGGGGAAAGGGAGGGGGGGGGGGAACGAAAAAGGGGGGGAAGGGGGAGGAAAAGAGGAAAGAGGAGAGGGAAGGGAAGGAGGGGAGGGGGGAGAAGAAAAGAGAGAGGGGAAGAGAGGAAGGGGTGGGGGGGGGAAGGAAGAGAGGGAAAGGAAGGAAGAGGGGAGGGAGGGTAAGGAGGGAAGAGGACCGAGGGGGCGGGGGAAGAGGACAAGGGGAGGGAAGAGGAAGGGGGGGGAGAAAAGGGCGGAAAAGGGAACGAGGACGGGGAACGGAGGGCGCGCAAGGAGTGAGGAAAGGGACGGAGCGAGGAGGGCAGGGGGCAAGGGGGAGGAGGGAAAGGGGGAAAAGGAGGGGGGGCGGAAGAGCGTGAAGAGCGAACGAGGGAGAGCACGGGGGCGAGCAAAACGGGAGGGGAGGGGAGAAGAGGGGCGGGGACGGGGAAAAGGGGGAGGAGAGGAGAGACAAAGTTACGGGAGGGAAAGAGAGAGGGGGACAGGAGGGGGGGCGGGAGAGGGAAAACGAAAGAAAGAAGAAAGAAGAGCGAAGGAACGCGAAGGGGGATAGGAAGGGATAAAAGGGGGGGGGGTGCAGGCAAGGGAGAAAGGGGAAAAAGAGAGCAAAAAGGGGGGGGAGGGGAAAGGGTGAGGAGGGGATGGGGAGGGGACGTGGAGGGAGGCGGCGGACGGGGGGGGGGGAAAGGGGAAACGAAAGGGGAGAGGGGGGGGGAAGCCAGGGAGGGGGGGAGGGGGGGGGGCGGACCCAGGGGGGGGGGGGACGGAGGAAGCGACATAAGGGGAGGGGGGGAGGGGGGCGAGCGGGGGGGGGCGAGGGGGAACGACAGGGTTGGCAAGAGGGGGGGGATAGGAGAGGGAGGCGAAGGGAGGGGGACCATGAAGGGGGAGTGGGCGAGGGCAAGACGGAGAGACGGGACAGGGGAGGGGCGGGGGGGAAGAGAGAGGCGGAATGGGAGAGGGGGGGGTGGGGGGCGAGGGGGGGGGGGGGGCGGCGGATGGGAGGAGGGCGGGGCGAGGAGGGTAGCAGGAGGGGGAGGGACGGGAGGGGGGGGGGGGAGGGGGCGGGAGGGCGAGAGAAGGGAGGCGAGAAGGGGTGGGGGAGAAAGGGGAAGAGAGGGGCGGGGGGGGCGGAGGCGGAAGGAGGGCGGGGGGGGAGGGAGGGAGGGCGGGGGGGGGGGAGAGGAAGGGGGGGACGGAGGGGAAGGGGGAGGGAGGGAGGTGAGAAGAAGGAAGGGTGGGAGGGGGAGGGGGGGGAGGAGAAGAGGAGGGCGGGGGGGGGAGGAAGCGGGGGGG